ATACCTCCTTCAGCTAAACAATAGGCCTTCTTTTCAGGCTGTGAAGTTAACAAAAAGTATCTTAATGTAACAGTGATAGGTACATCATGTAGTATGTTCTTCATCTAACGCAAGCAAACTAACATCAGGGACATGCGCAGTTACGATTGGCAAGAACAAGCAAGATCACTGCATTATGATTCGGCTATTTAGTATTTTACCCAGAATGCATCATTTAAGCAATGAACCAAAGTGAATATCTGAATATATGTTCATGATTGATTTCAGTTACTGTGATTAGAATCCTCAAAGGCACTTAACATATGCACCATGGAAGTGCTAAGTGCACCCACCAAGTCAAACCTGTTAGTCAGTGGCTCATAAAATGTGTGTACAACAGATCCCCCATTTCCTTGGTGAAGTGAAGATTTATAGTTCACTGACACCAACCGTAGCTCATTTTATCTCATTATTAATTCCGGCAAGCATTAGCTTTCTTTCAGTTATGGGGACTGTAGGCAGTATAGCGTTGGTACAGGAAACATACAAATATAAAACACAATTAAACTATGTAACAGAGAACAGGCTGTTGCTTAAATCCTAGACCAGAGGGTTCATGTGCTAGAAGAGCTTTGTAAAACAACACTTTGTTAAAAACAGCACTTTCAATTCATCTTGCAAATCTTCTGGGACACTGGGCGCCCCGACGTCATCTGATGTTGCCTCTTTGCTTCTTTTACTTCCATTGCAGTTCAGTGCAGTAAGACTAACAGCAGTGTCAAGGATTAGCAGCACTGGAACATGGGCTGTCATTTCTGAAACCTCTAATAAGATTAGTTATTTTGCTATTACACTTCTGGAACATAGAGAAGAAACAGATTAAAGCAATAAACACCTGAACATTCTCTTTTAACATTTCAATCCTCATTTCTAGAACTGCCCCTTGCTATGCCATCTGGAAAGCCTGCTATGAATAAAACTCAAACAAAATAGACTAATCTTTTCCCTGGAAAGACCCTAGTGCATGTAGGTGAGATGCAAAGGTTTGCATGCATGAACAGGTATTTATGAAGTTAAGCCTATCAGGCAAAAGTTCTATGGGATAGCATGAATGTGGTTCAGTCTTTTATTCCTTTTCCTGGTTACCTGAACATCTCCTTCTGTGTACTCTAGTATTCCAATAACTTACTTGGGTTTCATTCTTAAGAACTGACAGGATGCAAGCATAGTGAGGTGATGTGCATTCTTTCAGTATCTTTCCTCTAACCAGGTTTTCAATAACAGGTTTCAATCCTGGATGACCTTCTGTTGAAAAAAGAATACTGATGGATTCAAACAGGGGATCTCCTGGGCGTAGAGCTCCCATCTTACAGGCCAGGTTTTGTTTCAGAAGGGCAAATAGACAGTCAAGGGTTAGCAGAAAACATAGGAACAGTATATTGTTGAAGGAAGCATTGTTTCTGTCAATGCCTACAATCTGGAGGAGGAGAATCAGTGGCAGGATTGCTTTTAATGTTCGGAAAGTCAATTTATTGCA